GACCATAGGTGTTAGATATTAGCCTATCTGCCTATGCCGCCAACTTTGACAACTACTGCTTCATCCGAGCAAAAAATATTTTTTCCAAGTTTAGCGTTCAAAATGAGATATGGGTAGTTGCCAAAAGAGATTATCCATTGCCGCAGGTCTTATCTATAGTACAAGACTATTAGCATAGTGAGCCACAATGCAGAAAAGCTAATTAATCAATGCAGCGACAGACACAATAACGAAATTTCCAGCGAATTTTTTGAACATCTTGACATATATGGTACATATGCGAAGGAATATCATACAACACCACCTCCATGATCTAAGATGCTTTTAGGGGATATCGGGTGGTGTCCTCCTCGTTGTCGGATGACGATGTAACAGTCGTAGTGTGTTCCGTACTCTTCTTCGCTGCCTTCTTCATAGCTGTATTCACACAATATCGAGCTGAGGCCTCAGTCTGTCGAGTAATCTTTCGATGTTGGACGACAAATAGGAATTGGACAATTCGACACTACGACATTAGGTTTGTTCCATTTGGAGTTATTTGATAAATTTAGAATAACTCTGAACTTCGTTTTAGGGATGATCCAGAGATGCTAGCCTATCGACAAGCGCGTGGCGTAGTTGACCCCGTTGTAAAGATAGGACGACCAGATGGGACAGCCAAGGTTGAAAACCGACTGTCAATTGCCAATCGACAACTGCCAATAACTGTCATGGAAACGCGATGACTTGAATTATGCGATGACTCTCTCAAGGTCCCGTCAAGCCAAAACTTGCCGTTGAAGCATATCTTGCAGACCTTTCATAGAGTTCTCAAGTGCATTTTCATTGTGTATAGTGTGTGCGTGTGTCACAAACACTGCAACGGGTTCTGAACTGATCGCAATTTCTTCAGAAATCAGTCACTATATTCGAGTGCCACATAGAACATTCGAACTAGTCTTTCTTTTGCATTCTTCAATGCCTCGCCCTAATCTCAGGAATTAGAGTAACACTCAAATGCCGTCAGCTATTTGCTTTCTTCGCAGTGCCTTTTTTATTTCTTGCCGTTGAATATATGAAATCATTTACTGACAATAAACATAGATGACCTGCAAATAGTGCATATATTACAACATGTAGCTTCCGTCACAAACTTACATAAATCAAAAACTACATCTGTCACGATGCCCTAGAAGAACAGAAGAGTGATTCTTATACAGAGGTGTTGATATCAACTCGTAAACTAGGTGTGATTATGTTGATGATGTTATTGATAAATAAATAAAACTGAAGGTAGAGATTGGCGAACTTTGGCGTGAAATACAATAGAATTTTAGGGAAATGACTATGGCTAAAATAATCTGCAAACTCTGGCATCACTCATACCTTTGAAATAGATAAAGGTAAGCAAGTTGACGAGGTGGATTTTGTGAGATGGCCACTTTCTCGTCGTTGAAGAGTATCTGAAAAATGATTTTTAAAAAAAGTAGAAGGTAGTTTCTTCAAAGGTTTAGTTTACGAAAACAATTTTTGCCAGCTAAGAGAAATTATGCTTGAATTCTTTACGATATTTATTACTACACTGTATAACACAGACTGTAAAGGTAAAGCAAAAACTTACCCATCTGTCATCTTTCTTCACATGCACCACATAATGTCCAGAATGGGGACTGCTTCCCATATGACTGATAAAAGCAACGAGGCGATACTTTCCATTCCCATCGCTGAATTCACGAGACGCAGAAGTCGCTAGAGGGGTCGTGTTCTCACCGGGAACAGCAGCACCACATTCAGGTGGTACCTAAACATTTCATTCAATTTTAAAATAAGTAAGTTGCGACAACTACCTCTTCTGAATGAACAAACAACCACTCTGCAGCAGCGTTCGCATCCGGATTACGGTTGAGAGCATATCGTGCTTGATGAGCTGTGAAACCTGAAGCGAACAATAAGATAGCACAAAAATAGGAGGTTATGAGAAATATTACCAAATGCAATAAGTTCATCTAATCCCTCCATATGTACTGGAGCACCAGCATCAGGATTGGAACTAGTGGCTGGAGGGTCATTCAGTGAAGGATCATCCAAACGGAGCATTACCCATTCAGCGGCGGCTTCTACACCCCCGCTTTTTCCAGTTTCTATCGCAGCCTTTATCGAAGCATTCCTTGTAAAACCCATAGCTTCTAACTAAAAACATTATTTTAGATACGTGAATTGCAAACAGAAATGAAAATAACCTGTTCAACTATATTCCTGTCATAATCAGGCAGAGTAGGAGTTGGTGTCGTTGAGGCATCATCGGGCAGAAGTACTTCATTTTCTTTTTTGCCAATACCTCGTAAACCAGACAAATCTATTTCATCCGGAACCTAAAGGTTATTAGTTGAGGGTGATTGGCACGTCGTCCTTTGCTGGGAAAACCCACTTGAAGATCAAGGTCCAACTTCTTTATGTTATAGTCCGGAGTCATGGTGAACCTCTGGAAGAAACTAACGAAGTAGAAGCCACAAGATATGAGTGAAATTGGACACTATCCGCAAAAAAATAATTGTCTAAATGTGACAATCTGATACCTGAGCTTGGAGAAATAGGTAATCAGGGAATGTCTTAAAACGGATGGTTGTACGGGCTCCTTTCTTTTCATGAGTAATGGGGCTTACAAAGTCCTAAACTAGATGATTTTCCCTATTCAACACATTTTAAAAGTATATCAACCTCAATGATGTCTGGCTCAAAAAGAGCACAAAGACAGTCCGTGAGAGCTACAGATGAACGGCCTCCTTCAGAATCGGGTGCCTTTATTGCTCCCTAAATTGGAGTCAAAATTAGCGACAGAATGAGGTTATAGCCCATTACCTTTGGGATAGGCACTGCGAGCACAGTTTCTTCCCTGTCTGTGTATCTAACCATGGCAGACGCAATATCTTCGAATCGACTTTCCATCTTAAACCTGCGGAAAGAAATAATAAAAATAGGTCTGATTATGGAAATGCTTGGGAAACACACTTTACAGAGAGAGTAGGGTCGCGAACTTCAACAGGCGTATTGGAAGAGATCTTATCCAGAAGGAATCTGCAAACAAAAGACAAT